AGTATCTACAATGTTGTTGTCCCTCATTAAAAATAAGAAAAAAAGAACTTGTTTTCTTTAAGTAAAATGAAAGGAAACACACACATTTTTAGGCAGTAAGGTGCCTATTGGTTGTAGAGCAGCAGGAAACATAAACGAAGTAATGTGCAGCCTTCAAAAATGGAGAAAAAGGCTAAAAGATGAAGGGATAAAGTAGTTGATCTCTGGGAAGAAACAATCACTTCAACATAAATATTTTATGTCTCCAAAAAAGTCATTAAAAAGAAAATCCTAGGCATAAAAGTACATGATCAATACAATGAAAACTCAGTTTATGTTAAATATTTTAAAGTTTTAATAAAGAACAGATAGATTTTTTAACATTAATATATTTTTAAATTTTAAAAGTGTATCTTAAAACTTGATCGAGGCTCTTTTTATTGCTGTTCTTTTGGACATGTTCCTTTATCGTGCTCATCTTGGTAGAAGAGTTCTATGAACTGATTGCTTCTGTCAAATCCTTCAAAGATGATTTATTAATAAGGAAAGTTTCTATTTCATGCCGTGAATATAAGCACAAAAGAAGTGCCATATTGGGCCGGATCAATGGACCGCCTAGGCCTGCAACCTGTCTCTGACAGTGGCAGAAGTGGAGTGAACAGTGTATATCAAAGGTGATTTATCCCTGTCATGCCTTCCATAGTATCAACCATCATAGCTTTAGGGATGTCAGAGAATTCACTCCTGAGAATCTCTAGTTTCCCTCTGAAACTCTAGAAATAGTATTTATCAAGGCCTTGTCTAAGCACAGAGTCATACAGTGTGTTAGAATTTAGAAGTCTCCTTTGTTGCGAAATCTACAGAACAACCCCTGCACCAAAAATCAGGGTTGTTCAAAATTGATTACAAAACGCCTCTAAATATATTAGAATCTCTTAAAACATTTAAATGAGAAATAGAAATGCTGAATCCAGCCTTCTTTCCAAAATTTTAATTGCAGGCCATGTACTTTTTTTATACAAAAAATAATGGAAAACATCTAATTTTTCAGTACTGGTTTTACAAATGTGGCACAGTAGGCATATCTACATGAGATGCTTTACTGCACAGTAGAGCCAATTACTGTGCACTAAGCATCCATGTCTACACGTGCAGACACTTACTGCATAATAACTGGCTCCAGTCATGAATAAATTTGCTACAAGCAAATGCAAGTAGCAAATTTACTCAAGATTAGTAACAGTGCAGTACTGCATGTGTAGACATTTGACCGGGAGCAAACTTGCTACTGGTCAGCAAGGCAGCACGAGGTGGTAAATTGCCCCCTGCCTGGGCACTGGAGTCTAGGCAGGGACAATGTCCCCATGCCTTGGCAGCAGGGAGCTCCCAGCCCCCGCTCCCCAATCTCAGGGAGATTGTTCCCAGCCGTACCTCTGCAATCCTGTAGCGGGGGCTGGCAATAGGCTCCCAGCCCCTACCCTGCAATGGTTGAGTGGGGGCTAGGAACTGTCCCCAGTCAGGGGCAGCTCCCAGGCCCATGCCCTGGTCAGGTGATCAAGGTGTGGGGCGTGGAAAGAGCTGCAGGAGGGGCTGGGACCTGCCCCTCCCCTGCAGCTCTTTCCAAGTCCCCTGACCCCGATCGGGAAGCTGGGGCCAGGAGCTCCTTGCTGCCAGGGCAGGGGGACACTGTCCGGTGGCAGTGCAATCTCCCAGTCCCTGCAAGGAGATAGCTATTTCCTGGCCCCGTGCTCCCCACCCATCCCTGGTTTACTCTAGAGTAAACCCACCCCAGAGCAAATGCATGTGTAGACGTGCCCAGGAAGTCATTACCAGGTTAAGGGCTTGTCCGGGGAGCTAGAGAAGAAGGGGTCGAAAGAATATGCTATTGGCTAAAGAGGCTGGCAGTCATCACAGGCTTTGAGAGACCATCTCTGACTCCAGGCAACCCTGATATATCATCAGGATCCTCTACTGTGCCTGCTTGGATGGTCTCATTCTGCTACAGTTTCCTCTAACCTGAAAGTTGCAACAGATTTTGGAAACCTGATACTAAAGTAACATACTCCAGGTTTTACTCTATAGTAAATTTACTATAGTGAGCAGCAAACACACAGTCAGCTTTCCCAAGCTTGCTGTCTGCAATATGACTTATTCTGTTATAGAGCCTAGCCCCCAGATGGTGGAGGAGCCAGTGTTTATTGAGCAAACTGCTACTTTGGCATAAAATTGACTTGTGGTATGGACACATGACATATTCTGTATAGCAAATCCCTAGATAGTAAAGTTACTAAACGTTTTTCACGTGGTAACTTTATCCTTGATTTCAGTGATTTCCTACATAGTACGGCTGAGTATGGAGTATCCCAATCCACTTTTACTATGTGGTAAAGGCAAATTACTAGGTAGTAAATGTCTCACATGTCTGCCCTCTCAGGTAAGCAGGAACTTCAGTTCCAGTCACTTTCACTTAGGCATAGATTAAAATGTTCCCAAGCTAACTGGAAATTATCAGTGTAAATTCACCAACTACAGTCAATCCTTCTGTTCTATAAATCACTTGCAAATGTAAAACATGCTTTGGTAAGAGTAGTTAATGTATCTAAAATATACTGTGAGGTCCCTTCCATCCTGACTTTCATATGATCCCACAATTGTTAGGGTTCCTTTAATTAATAAAAATATTTTTATTTGCAGTTTTGTGCGTTTAATTAAATTCCAGTTAGCATCTAAATGCAGCCGGTTGGCAAATCATGAGCAAGGAATTAATTATCTAGTAAATAAGCACAATATCATTCACCATTTTCTAAGATTCTAAAAATGTAAAAGTAATAAGATCAATCCACCCTGGGAAACCTCTGACTGTCATACTGGCCAATAATGTCTCTTTGAACTCCCTAGCTGTTTCTCTGTATAGCTCTGTTGTCTCTCATCTAATACTTAAGATCGTATGCCTGCAATAAGCCTGATTTAAAATGAAATAACATCTGCACTTTATCCCAGCCATGCACTTGGTTCAATAAAAGATATCACCCACCAAAATCATTGCCTGTCACATAATTCCTGGACCATCATGGATAAAACACCACTCTCACGCTACCATAACATCCCCACAGCTTTCTGCATCAGTTTAATTAAATTGGTCTAAAAAAAGTCATACCTCATGTTAATCCAGTTCAGCTCTGCACGTTGACATGTCCCAAGTTTCTTCTAGTATATGCCTTAGCTACTGTGGCCATATTTCAAGCTAGATTCCAATACTCTACTCACACATAGTACTCCACAAAAATTGTCTTGCTGGTCCTTTTTTTATTATCTTGCCCCCTGTACAGTCATTTTAACCCATGCAAATAAATGCAGGTGAGAATAAAACACCACTGTTCTGACTGTGCAAGCTGTAAGAATTATGCCCGCTGACTTCAAAAGGATACTCCTACTGTCAGATAATTTTCCCAACAGAGGAGTATGGTGGAACTTGCATCCCTTGCAAAATGTTCTCTAAGCACACTTCATTGGTCTGTCTACCCTGCCTTAGTCAGAAGGGCTGATTTCTTTCTCTCTGTCCGTTTCCAACTTCATTCCTATCTAATTCTCCCACAAGTAAAAAATCGCTTTTTTTGCCCCTTACCAAGCTGAACAACTGACATGAAGTTAGCATACATCATTGCACACCACTTCAGTTTTCTGGAAGTACCTCTGGCCATCACAACTGGATATTCTGGCTTCCTCGCCTTTCAAAATGATCAGATCTCTAGATATAACTGTGTTAAATGTGTTCGGGCCAGACTGTGAAACCCTCTGGTGGAGAGTTGCAAACAATTCTACTGAAGCCAGGAGGCTTCAGAATCTGAGCCTTGGCAAACACATTACTTATGGTAAAGATGTCTCCAGCAAAATCAGAGTGTAAACTGAAGGCTGGGATAGCAGAATACCCAGTATATCTCAAATTCCTTACTACTGCTATGCCATAAACTGCTAATAAGCCTGAGCTTAACAAATTATTATTATTATGTTATTATTTTACAGCACTCATGCATGATCAGCAAGAAATAGCCCTTGCTCCCATAATGAAAGCTATCTAACAACTGCACCACACATCCCAGGAGCCTCCTAGACGAGTCTCACCGAGGCAGAGTTGGAGACTGTGTTTGGAATCTGGGCGGTCATCCTTCTTTCCTTCCAAAGGTATCCATTATTTTCTGTAGCCTGGGAAAGAGACCTGACTCTCTAAAATAAGAGTTTAAAAGAGGCAAGACCTTACTATATTAAATTCAGGTACACACTGTGACAAAAAGCCACCTTGGTTTCTCCCCAAAAATCTCTGCCCTGTGACACTGTGATTTAAATCTCTGTGCTGTGACCATTCAATTAGTATGGGCCCAGCACACAGGGGACCACACCCTCAGCCTGTCTCTTTAGGGAACTTGAGCTGGCTGCATTCCTGAGGGAGGGGGAAACCTGCTCCCTCTGCTTACATGACTGGTACCTGGGTGAGGGGCATCTACCTGGGGAGCTGGAATCTGCCCGGTAACAGGTGATGCATTTCAGATTGGTTGGCTGACAGCCAACTGGGGGC